GAGGGTTGGGGAGATAGCTCAGTAGAATAAGCACTTGTCTGGCAAGAGCAAGGTCCTGAGTTCAATCCCCAGTACCTAAAAAAAAAAAAAAAAAACAAAAAAAAACACAAAAACCCTACAGGGACTTGGTTCTGGGTTTAGAAAACCAAATATACACAGGATGAAAATACCTTAATGTAGAAATAAAGCACCTGCTCATCCAGTGTGGGATTTCAGGGACAGCTTTTACCAACCTGGCTTCTCTGTGCAAAAATATCTCTTCCGGCTCGAATGAAGTCAGCAGCATCAAAGCAGGGCTCAAACTCAGTGGTCACAAACTTTCCCTGAGCAGCCAGTTTGTGTCTGTCTTCCACATTGTGGATGGGATAATCCTAGCCGGAACAAGAACAAACACATGGGCTGGTGAGATGGCTCAGTGGTCTAAAGCACCTACTTAGAACAAACTAAGCCAAGCAAAGCACAGGGACCGCGGTTCAATCCCCCAGTACCACATGCCAGCCAGCCCCGCCCCCTGGTAGGCTGAGCTGGCCACACACACAATAAATAAATAAATAAATAAATGAACAAACACATGCAAAACTCATTTCTGAGGGTGCACCTTACTATAAACAAACTAGCTCAACATTAGTTATCACTTCCCCCAAGACTGCTACTCCGTTCTTGACTAAAACAGGCATAGGGAAGATGTAGGCCCATGATAGGCAAAGTAAAGCAATAACACCACCCCCAAGACAAAATTCAGATACTGGGCATGCCAGTAATTTCCTGCCACTTAGAAATAAGTTGGGGGCTGAGGAGATAGTTCAGAGGCATGAGTGCCTGCCTGGCAAGCTCAAGGTCCTGAGGTGAATCCCTGGTGCTGCAAGGAAGGAAGGAAGGAAGGAAGGAAGGAAGGAAGGAAGGAAGGAAGGGAGGGAGGGAGGGAGGGAGGGAGGGAGGAAGGGAGAAAGAAACAAGCGGGACAGGACAGCAAATAGTCCATGATCCATGATCCATGATCCATATACAAATTTATGCCACTGTCCATGACAAGGACAGGTAACAGGATGAAGTTACTCTGTTCCTTCAGAAAAAGGAATTTGGTCCTGAGTCTAACTGACACTATGAAATAAGATCTTCTGTTTCCCCACCAGGTCAAGGTGTAGTGTATTTATTCCTGTCTTTGAACCCCTAGAATAAATTTTGGTTTTTATATTTTTTTCTATAAATGGTCAAATACTAAGTGATTTAATAAAGGACACACAGTTTCCCCTTGGTACCTGGGGGGCAACTGGTCCCAAGATACCCACACCTATGGATGTGGAAGTCCATGATATAAAACAGCATACTGGGCTGGGGAGATAGCTCAGTAGAATAAGCGCTTGCTTGGTAAGCGTGGGGTCCTGAGTTCAATCCCTGGTACAGAAAAAAAAGAAAGAAAGAAAGAAAGAAAGAAAGAAAGAAAAAAAAAAAAAAAAAAAAAAAAAAAAAAAAAAAAAAAAAAAAAAAAAAAAAAAAAAAAAAAAAAAAAAAAAAAAAGAAAAAACCCAGCATAGTATCTATGCATGTTTCCTGTGCTTGCAATCAATCAGTTTTGGGTTACTCTTTTTTTTTGTTTGTTTGTTTTTTTGTTTTTTTGTACTGGGGATTGAACTCAGGACCTCGCCGGGATATGCATAAGGAAATTGTCTGTCTGCACATGCTCCGCTTTGTTGTGCTTTGGTGATTCATGGTACTGGGAATTGAACTGAGGCCCTTGCACTTGCCAGGCAGGCACTTAAACTGCTGTACTATCTCCCCTGCCCCATGCACCACTGTGAAAAAAAACCCTTTTGATCTGCAGTTGGTTGAATCCGCAAATGCAGAGAAGGCTGGCCGTGCATTGCTTTCCACTGTGCACCTGGCCTGGAGACCAGCTTCTTTTTCTAGAAGGGAATGAAGGGACTTAGGTCTAGTTATACTCTGGTTCCACCAATGAACAGCAGTGTCTCGAGGCCAAGCCTCCCTGTAATGAAACGAAGCTGGGACCTGCTAGGGTTGTGAGGAAGAGACAGGCTGGAGGACATAAGTAAAGAGCGAGGCCCAGGAACCCGCACAAACAAGGTCAGCACCAAGAAACCTTTACCACTATTAGTGACTTCATTAAGATCTCTACTATTATTACCAGATTACTCACTCCTATTTTTCATCATGAAATAAAGTAGGTACTGGGCCAGCCAGATAGCTCAGCAGATTAAAGCGCCTCCTTAGGCGGATGCAGGGTCCGGAGGTCCGATTCTGGCCTACTGTTCTGGCCCCGCTCCCTCCCCAGGGTGCACTGAGATGGGAATTGAGACGGTGTGTGGTGGTGTGTGCGTATAACCCCAGTGCTTGGGAGGCTGGAAAACAGAAGGATCACTACAAGTCTGATCTGTGTAGTGAGACCCTGTACTAAACACATTGTTAAAAAGAGAGAAAAGAAAAAAAAGTAGGTGATGTTCTCAGTTCCTGGCACGGGGAACCCACGCAGCGTCTCAGAGAACCTGCATCCTACTCTTGTGGATTATTTGCGAGCTCGCCTGCATGCAGGGCCTACCTTGTCGTAGAGCTCATCCACCATCATGGGCTTGGGAGCCGTGGTCCACTTGGCCCCGCGGTGGAAGTAGTCTTTAATGAGCGAGCGGTACGCTCTGTACTCGAAGAAGCGTGAGCGCCACGCCATGGGAGCCTCAATGATCTCGTTCCCCACAACGATAAGGATGTCTCGAGGCATCGCGCTGTACAAACCTGCCAGCCGGGAAGGGGACAGATTTTTAGCTGAAGGCATGACCAAAGTGGGTGCTTTAAAAAAAAAAAAATGTTTCTTTGCGTCATTAACTAACCAACTACCAATCCTGAACATTTCCTTACAAAACAGCCCCGCCTCTCTTACGCAGCTATCTCAGTAGTAGCGCAGGTTTCCCAGTCAGGGGGGCCAGTGCAACGTGATCTAATCTGTGGTTGGGCCTTTAAAGTACCAGAATGCTACACATACAACTTACACACACAATTGTATAAAATGGAGAAAAGTGGAATGATACATACCGGAAAGTTAACCCAAATTTGGTGTGGGGTGGGCAAGCCAATTAAAAAAGAAGAAGAAAAATAAATATGAAGCTATAAAGTGGTTGTTCACAGAGATGTTGAATGAGCCACCAAGTGGTCTTGTCTGTTGCTTCCTTTCTTGCTATTTCAAGACAGAATTCTCTCTCTCTCTCTCTCTCTCTCTCTCTCTCTCTCTCTCTCTCTCTCTCTCATTTGGTACAGGGTCTCACTATGCAGCTCAGACTCGCAGTGATCCTCCTGTGTGTAGCCTCCCCAGTGCTGGGACTACAGGCGTGCGCCACCACACCTGGTTTCGGTGGCCTGCTCAGTGCACCTGGAGTGGCATGTGGTACTGGAGAGCCCAGTCCCTGTGCTTGCATCAGCAGGTGCTTAGACCACCGAGCTATCTCCTCAGCTTTCCTCTTTCATTTCTGTTCTCGAGGAAACTTAAACAGAATCCAGTGAAGCCATAAAATCTAGGCAAAACTGCTTCTTTCAAGGTAACTCCACGAGGAATACAATAGTTTAGGGTGTGCACATCTTGAGCATATCAAAGTGAACCAAGTTGTTCCTAAATACTCTTTTTTTTTAATGTATTAAGTACAGTGTCTCCAGGGTCTCACTATGTAGATCAGACTCACAGTGATCCTCCTATTTTCAGTCTCCCAAACACTGGGATTACAGGCATGTGCTATCATGCCCAGTCTCACTCACAATCTCAGGGCACCCCAGGGGAAGGGGGTCAACAAGTCACACCAGGGATTGAACCTCAGCCTCTGTGCTCTACCTAAGCAGGCACTTTAGTGCACTGAGCTATCTGGCTGGCCCCTAAATACTCTTTAAAGTTTGAGGGACTGGCAAAGCCAAGGATCTCCTCCAAAATTTTCAAACCTTTCTCTTTCCACACTCAAGAAGAAACCACACAACCAAATCAAGGCGCTGGCGGGCTTCCCACCGCACTTACCCGTAGACTCAAAATCAGGAGTTTTATACTGAAACGACCAGTCAATGGGATCGGGTCTCCTCACGATCACTCCTTCCATTTTTAAAATATTGCACATTTCTTCTATTTCAGCAATAGCCTTTTTCAAGTGATCTTTGGGAAAATATTGGCCTCCATACTTTTGGTAAAATGGCCAGTACTTTTCATAGGTGTTGGCCTAGAAGCCAGAGAAAGAAAATGATGTAATTACAGAAGAAACATTCAACTGTGGTAGGCTCATCAGCGGCGGATGACCCTTTGCCTACATGATGACCCTGAGACCACGTTCTGCACACTGTTGGCCCTAACCCCTTCCCAGACACACAATGTTTATTGGAAGGAGAGCTCTAAATTATCTTGGTATTTGGGGGCTTTTTGATCTGTCTCTGCAGATCCCATGCCCAGGCACTACCAGCGTGTCTGTCCCTCCACGGTCTGGGAAGCCTCTTGGCCGTCCTTGCCCTGGGTGCTCCGGTGTGACAGCCTTGATAGAATTAAACAAGAGAACAATGGAAGAGAATAAAAACACCAGCACTAAGTTCAAACCATGGCCTAGCCACCCATTCCAGAATTCTGTCTGGAAAACAGCATTTACATTTTATATTTTACAGGAGGAAAAGATATTTTTGTGCGGTTATGATTGAGGACATACTTTCAAACCCACTATAGACTTTCCCATTCCACAGCACTTGCTCCTGGCCAAAGGGTGTGGCCATGCAGGGCGGGCTTTGGTGCCTGTCTGTCCCTGTGTCGCCCACCCATGACACATTTCCTCTCCCCATCCACCCTTCACTTCAGGTCGTTCCTTACCTCAGATCGTTTGGTCAGAGCAGAAAATATTTGGTAAGTGAATTCACACACTCTCAGTGGCTGAGAAAACTTAACATGCAGAAAGTTCCCAAAGGTTTTATGTGAAAATGCAACAATCTAGATTCCTGATGTGTCTAAGTTCTTAGCCAACTGAAAGCGATACTGTGGGACATTACATGATACATGTTGAAATTTGTGAAGCCAGGTGAAGCAGAACTCGAGAGGCTAAGCAGCCGTGGACCTTTGTCAGAACACTAGCAAAGCCATGTACAGTCACATACGGTTAATGGAGAGAGTGATCAAAGCAGGTACTTCTTCTCCCCACCCCCACCCTCCAAAGCAGGTACTTTTAAGAATCATTTCTATGTATCACTAACTAATTGACTCCCAATCCTGATCATTTCCCTACAAACCAGACACCTGCAGGTAGGAGAAAATACTAGAAAGAACTAGGTAACTGGCTCAATGTGTCTGACTAGTACGTCTGCCTTAGCTAGCTACTGCACTACTTCGGACAATCCTATCCAGGAGACAGGGTGAGTACTCACTTGTCCATTTCTTATGCAGGGAAAGAGACTTGGGGAATCAGGTGCCCGCTTGCTACCTGCACAAGTGGGACAAGGACTCTGCAGTCCAACTCTCATTTCAATGGTGCTCCATGTCTGTGAAGGCATTTGGCTGAGTTCTGCTGGCCTGAACATTGTTTACTTTATATATAAAAAGTTTCACAACTGAAATTGTTTATTATGGTTCATACTGTTCCCAGTGGTTTTTGCCCATCGAGACAGGACCAAATGTCTAGGCATCTAACTCTTCAATGTCAAAGACAGTACTTCTCTAGGTGTGTGTCTTTATATTCATTTTTGCCTCACTCTTGTAAATTATCAGAGATACAAATGCAGACTTGCCTCTTCCTAGTTCAAACTCTAGGTGCACTAGAACCAGGCCTGGAGCATAGGGAGTAAACAGGAAACGAATCTCTGGAAATCATGAAGGATGCCCCTGAATCTCCAAGCAAGGGCTCGGTAAATGAAAGCCCACAGCCCTACCCTGCCCATGCCTGCTTTTGTAAATAGAGTTTTATGGGCACACAGGCCTCCTCATTTGTTTATGTAGTGGCTGTTACTGATCTTGCACTACAAATGCAGAATTGGGAAAGCAGTTGCTACACAAACTTCTGTTCTGCAAAGCTTGAATTATCTATTATCGGGCCCTACACAGAGAAAGTTTGCTGACCGTAACAGGCTGAATTTCTGAACTATGAAAAACTATCATCAGTGTTAAACATCTGAATGATTTGAGGCCAGCCCTCTCTTGCAAAAGCAACAAGCTCCCTCACTGTACACTCCCAGGGATTTCTGTGGCAGCACACTAAAAGGCAAGGATAATGACGCTTTTTGTTCGCCTCTAACACACCCTGGTACTGCTTCTCCATTCACCACTTCCTGCTTCTCAGGCCAGGCACATCTCCTGCCGTTCTCTAAGGGACAAGAAGCCTTTGACAATTTAGCACCAAGTTTCAGCTGACGCTCGGCTGAGTTGTCCTGCCAAACTCCTTCCAAAGTCTCTTGTGTGGCTATTGGTGCAGAGCGAAGACTGCACAGTTTCCCAGGAGAAAAACAACTATTTGAACAAGTGTGAGTTTTTCTAGCTTGTAATCTGGCGAGTATTGGACAAAGTCCAAATGGTCAAGGCAAATCACATTTTTCAAGACGGAGCTGGAAATTGTTGACATCTCCTTTATGGCCCTGCTCAGGGAGCTAGCAATCATTTACCAAGTGTCTGCAAGAGAGTGAACGCTGTATTAGATGCTCAGCAGATAATATTTTTAATAATCTGCTGCAGAGATAGGGCTGCATTCTTGGGAAACTGTACAGTCCTCCAGGACCTTACATCACTTGGGGGTGGGGTTGTGAAAATGAATTTTTAAACACTATCTTTGGAAACTAAGAAATAGCAATAGAAACTAACTTTTATTTAGCCAGCAATAAGCTTAAGTCATTTTATGTTTTTAAAAGGTCTTCCTTCAAGAGTTTTATTTAAAAAAAAAAATACAGAGCAAAACCAAAAGCAAGTATTCGCTATGTTTTGTAGAATAAAAAGCCACTTGGCTTTTTAAAAACTTGTGCTTCTGAGCACACCTTGTGCTTCTTGTGCTCACCCTTTCCTGAAAATTTCTCCAGCATTTGTACTTCCCAGCCCAAGGCTCTAGAAACAGTTTGCTACATTACTGTGCTCAAGCTGATGAACGTATTTGTGTCATTCTTTCCTGCCTTCTAGGGGTTATCATGTCTCTTACTTTCTTCCCCATCGATACCTTCCTTAGCCTGTCACATAAAGCAGAAATAACCAGAAAAAGGAAGTCATACTGTCAGAGCTACTAATGTCTACAATCATTATACTCCAACGTACTTTTATAATGTAATTGGCAAACTGAATCCATACAACTATAGTGAGATATAGTTTTGAGGTTTAAAATGCTTCACATGTAACTTAAAAAATTTTTTTTTCATGTATTTGGTATAGGGTCTCACTGTGCAGCTCAGACTCATAGTGATCCTCCTGTTTTCAACCTCCCCGCTGCTGGGATTACAGGCGTGCGTCACCAGGCCTGCCTCAGTGGCTGGCTCAGTGCACCCAGCGTGGCATGTGGTGCTGGGGATTGATCCCTAGTCCCTATGCTTGCCTAAGTAGGCAATTAGTTCGCTGAGCTATCTCACCGGCCCCTAACATGTAACTTTTACCTTTGTGTAACTTTAATCCTGTTAGACAGAGAGCAAACTTAACAGTTTCACTTGAGTAGGGCCAGAAATTTGTGAAATCTTCCACAAGGTTAAAGAGCTGATTAATCAAGCTTTTATCAAATACTTAGTTGAATCATAGTCTCCTGACCTGAGCATGACACTTTCCAGGAGCTGGTGAAGTTACAAAGTCTAAAGTCATAAAACAAGCGACAAGGAACTCAAAATACTGTTTGAGAATTCTGATTCCATGAGATCACGTGGTATGAAAGTCAATAAATATAAAGACAAGTAAAAAGATAAACTATCGCCTGAGTTCGAACTTTAATTTTACCAGATTAAAGCGGTTAGGCGATGGGACAGCTTCTTTCCAGGCCTTTAAAAAAAAATACAGGGCATGTAAATTAATCACTTCCTCCAATTTTAAATATCATAACCAAGGATAGTTGCAGAACAACTAGAAAAATTATTTCTTCTACTATGCTTTCTTCCTGCCTAATTTAAGAACCACGTCCTGCCAAAAGACTTTCTCTTTTTTTTTTCTTTTCCTTTTTCACAGTACAGGGGATTGAACTCAGGCCCTTGTGCTTGCCAGGGAAGTGCTTATTTCACTGAGCCATCTCCCTGGCCTCTAAAAGACCTTCTAACACTCCAACACTTCCTGGCTTTCTCTGCAACTCTCCTGACAGCTCACCTGCCTGGCCTGTTGGTTAGCTAAGAAAGCTGGTGTTGTTTCCAGGCCAGCATCTTCTTCTCTCCAAATAGGAGGGAAGTTCTCTGTTACACCTACAGAGCCCTGTTACATGGGAGACAATACTTCCGGTGACAATGACATTGCAGCTGCCAAATTTACTTCCTTTTGTTCACTTCGGCAGCTCAGACTCTAACATTGGAACTAGGAGCTGTGGAGATAGCTCAGTTGAATAAATGCTTGCCTGGCAAGCACAAGGGCCTGAGTTCAATCCCTGGCTCTGCAAATAAATAAATTAATTAATTAAAAATAAAATTGGAATTATCCAGAGAACAGCATGGTTCCTGTGCAAGGATGACATGCAAATTCATGAAGCATTCGGTGTTTTTATATATACCCAAGAGAGCTTAGATAACTGTACTATTAATTTCTATGAGCTTATTGAAAGGAACAGTTAATGTGTAATTGTTTGCTCAGTTTTGCAAGCTTATATCTGGTAATCTGTACAACTACTTGGAAGATAAAACTATGCACTATAACAACCATTGTTAACTTTCTATCATCTTGGTTTGAAATGCTGTATCATTGTTTTTTTTGTTTTTTTTTTTAAATATTTATTTATTTATTTATTTGTGTGTGTGGCCAGCTCAGCCCACCAGGGGGCGGGGCTGGCTGGCATGTGGTGCTGGGGGATTGAACTGCGGTCCCTTGTGCTTTGCTGAGCTTGTTCTAAGTAGGTGCTTTAGACCACTGAGCCATCTCACCAACCCTGTATCATTGTTATTGTTTCATTCTCTTTAAAATAAAAAAATTAAAAATAAAATTTATTCCTCAATCTACAAGTGAAAATATAAAAATTCAAGAAGAATTTGCATACACTGAAGACATATTCGTGAAGTGTATTAATGGGCTCTTGGGCTTTGTCTGAGAGGAGGAAGGTGCTCTCTTGGACCCTTATGCAGTGTGTTCCCTGAACACGAGCCCACACGGGCGGTAGCCGGGAGAACACTGCAGACGCAGAATCCTAGGAGGTTCTAAAGAGGGAGCCTGCTGAACACAGAGGTTGCATGTTGGAGAGAGCCGCTTAGCCCAGAACGAGCACCTGCGACCCACCGCACCAGCATGTCTCTAAGACGAAGCACGGCTGAAGTGGGAAGCCTGGTAATGCGCCCAAGGGCGGCTTGTGGAGGATGCCCAACACCAGGAGGACTTCATCCTCGGCGTGACTGCGGTGAAGCCGAGCAGGCTGGGCGCAGGAGGAATAACATGATCAAACCTGGGCTTCAAACCCAGCCACCAATAACAGCTGAGCACAGGCCCGAGAAAAGAGTGAACAGGGGCTGGGGAGATGGCTCAGTGGAATAAGCGCTTCCCTAGCAAGCGCAAGGGTCTGAGTTCAATCCCCGGTTCCGCCAAAAAAAAAAAAAAAAGAGTGAACAGAGGAAACCACAGGGCGCGAGTGTCACCATCCAAGAGGAAGGTCTTGCAGGATGTGACAAGAATGCACCAATGATAGCTGGTGTTTTAACTTGACTAAACAGGAATGACAAATGGAAAGGGAAGGAGGAGGCCTGGTTTAGCGAGGTGGCAGACAACTGAGCTGTAGTTGTGCCAAGTGTGAGGGCCTGTGCAGGGCCTGTGAGGGAAGATCTAGACGGAGCTGGGGAGAGAGAGGAGGAGGAGGAGAAGGCAGAGCTGCAGCACGGCTAAGAGGAGGCGCCCAAGGGAAACCCTGCCCAGCCCAGCTTTCCAGACTGAAGCAAAGGAAGCAAGGAGCACAGAGCCACTGACCCCAGCAAAGGGCCCTGCAATCTTCGGGAAGTTCAGGAGGGAATGAACTTGCGAAAATAGTGTCCAGCGCCACAGAGGAGGCGAGCAAGGTAGCTTAAAATTAATCCCGGCTGAAGGCAGCCACAGAAGCGCAGAAGGCGAGCAGAGAACCCATGTCAGACTCGGGGATGGTTTCGCTTTACCTTCACCTCCACTGTGAAGGGCGGCACACAGGCATTTTCGGCTCTGCCCACGATCACTTCCTCTAAAGGGTCCCACTCGTTGTAGGATGAGACGGGGCAGTCCTTGGGTAGAGGGTCGGTGGCCTTGTCATCAGCTGTACAGGATTTCCGGCAGGAGGCCGGGGCGGCTTGGGTGCTCTGGAAAGTTCGCTGCACCCATCCCGTCAAGGCTCTTCCAAGCTTTGAAGAACAACAAGAGCGTCACTGTGCGGCCCTGCTCCGCACGTGGGGGCGGAGGAGTGGACGGGGCACAAGGTGGGAAGCCGTGGAATCCAGTCAGACATCGAAAACCTTTTAGGAGCCCGTAACCAAGGTGATATCAGGGTGTGAGTGAACTGGGACTGGGGGTGGTTTTGTCTGGGACCTTCTCCTGTATCTATAAGCTCTTTTTATCTATTTCGTCCCTAGCGATAGAGTCCCCTGTTCATATCTCAGAATTGGTTTCCGCAGGAGGGACCCTAAGCAGACCCATCTCCTGAACAGGACAGTCATTCTCTTCCCTGGAAGCTGCCCAGATCAGTAACTTCCTGCCTCGTACAGCTGGGGGAAGGAGCCCCCTTCCCCCTTGGCATCTAAAGTTAGCAATGTTAGGGTCTCCCCCCATACACGTTTGTAAGAAATTTTATCTTTCAGAATTTAAGGGTGCAAGACAGGCACGATGGTGCACACCTCTAAGGCCAGCACCCTGGAAGCTGAGGCAGGAAGGTGAACTGCCAGTTGGAGGCCAGCCTGGACTACATAGCAAATCCCAACATTTTCCACCTCTGACAGGCACGTCACGTTCCTCGACCCTCTCTGTTCATCTGCCACGGGCCCCATTTTACAAGTGGGCCTGGGTACCCAAGCCAAGGTGCAAAGTTAAGCTAAGAAGGAGATTTAAACGTTTCAAAAGGCTTTTTTTTTTCTTCCCCCAAAGGGGCTATGAAATCCAGAGCAGGAAGAGCCCTTCCATCTGTAACCCACTGGGCAAAACCGAACCCCAATCTCTAGCCACCTATTTATTTGATAGCATCAGGAAGGGACATGAGGGACGCCGGGATGGAGCCCCAAGCTCCCAAGTGAAGGCTGGTGGGAGGGCTGGGGGGGTTCCTGCCCCCGAGTTCCGCTCCTTTGGGGCAAAGCAGGACCCATGTGGCGACCGATAGCAACGCTGGGGACACCCTTGTCGCTCTCCATCCAGATATCTACCCCACATTCGCTCTCCTGAAAGCTGCCCACAGCTGTGCCCATGAGGAGCACCGAACCCCAATAATGCCAGCCTTCCTTGAAGTCCGCATGCTCTCCACGCTCGTCGCGGGTAGCGCAGCAGCACCAAGCTCGAGCCTTGGGGACTCACGGGTCGCGCAGACACCCTGGTGTGGCGCGCATGTCCTCCCTCCCGCAGCTTCGGTCTCCGCCCCCCTACTCTGGGCAGCCAGCGAGGGTATCCGTCGCACGCACCCGAGACCCGAGGTAGTGCAAGGCCTCAGCGCCGCGGCTCCCGCCACGCACACACCGCACGCGCAGCATCCCGGTCGTCGGTCAGCGCTGGTCCGCCGCCCTGGAGCCCCGCGGGTGGGTGTGTGCACCTCACTCCGCAGCGCCGCGGGTTATAGCGCAGGGTCGCCAGGACACGCCCAGAGCACGCCCCAGAACACGCCCCCGGCTGCGGAGCGAGTGCCACCCGGCGGGGACTTGGGCGCCACCCTGCGAGGGCTTTGCGTCTGTCCCACTGGAGAGGGGGAAGGCATGTCTTCCTGGAAAGGAAAATTAAGGTTACCCGTGCCTCGGATGCAAAGCTTGAAATTCAGGCGTACAAGATGGGCATGATGGTGCGCGCCTGTAATCTCAGCCCGCTGGAAGCTGAGGCAGGAAGATGAACTGCCAGTTGGAGGCCAGTCTGGACTACATGGCTGAGACCTTGTCTCGAGACAAGACAAACTAGTAAGCAAAGAGTTGCTTTGTAGACTGGCAACAAAAATAATTTAACCTTGCAATGTGTGAGTGCAATTTTAGGTTTAGAAACACTGGTGTGCACAGATCGGGTGCCCTCATTTTATTTTAATGTATTTGGTACAGGGTCTCACTATGCAGTTTGGACTTGGACTGATCCTCCTGTTTTCAGTCTCCCCAGTGCCCGGCCTCGGTGGCTGGCTCAGCATGCCTGGGGGCGGGGTTGGTGTGGCACATGATGGCGGGGATCAAGCCCTGGTCCCTGCGCTTGGCTAAGTGGGCCCTTAGTCTGCTGAGCTATCTGCGTGCCCCAGTGTCCCCATTTTAGAGTGAATGCAACGTCTTAAACATGAGCTTGCTTCCCAGCCCCTTCAGGTTTGAGACAGAAGTCCGGAACTCAGGCCACCTGTCTCCTTCCTGCCTCCCTCCAGCCTGCTGAGCGACCTGAACACTGGTCATTTCTCCAGGTCATTGGCTGTGTGCTTTTGGGTGACACAGTGCTGAAAATAGACATGGGTTAAGAGTAAGGGATGACTTCCAACAGCGCCTTTCCTTCTGTTGCTTGCGTTATACTGCTTGTTTCAATTCTATCAGGGCTCTTTTCACAGAGCAAAATCTTAGAGGCTACCACTGTGTATGGGACCCTAGCACTTTAGGAGGCTGAGGCAGGAGGATCCCAAGTTTCAGTCCTGCAAAAAAATATGAGGCAGAGCCAACCAAAGCAGTCTCAGAACTACAAAAGGCAATCGAATGATCCTTCCACTGATTTCCTTTCTCTGTTATTTGTTTCTGGTTTTGAAAAAGATTTCTGCAAGCATTTTGTAGCACCATCTTACCAACTGAAAGCACAGGCCTTTGCATGGAGCTGATTGTTGAATAGCAGGCCAGCTCTGCAGCATATCTATAGCGATATTTGCCAGTATCTTGCCCTGTAAATGTTGCCTTATTCTGAAGAAATAATATAGAGGCTGAACGCTTGCCCTCCCTCCCTTCCTGTTTTAACATATAATGCCAATAACTCCAGTTGAACTGATAACTTTAGGAGACTGGGGGGTTTATGCTTAATGGCCACATGTGTTCCAGGCCAATAGTAGCGTGGCTCTGTGGATTCATTTTTTTTTAAATTTTATTTATTTATTTGTGTGTGTGTGTGTGTGTGTGTG